CGCGCCTACGCCTCATCACGCGGCTTATTTCCCGATTTGCTAGGTAATCTGTCTCGCGCCCGGCAAGGAACTGACGAAAAAGTCGTAGATTACGGCTTCAGGATTTCGCGACAATTATCGAGAGAACCTCGAGCGGAATTGTACCGGGAGCCCTGGAGAGTGCCGCTATCTCCGCTTTGGCCAGCTTCACGAGAGGACTCCGTAAGGAGGTAGAGGAAGTTGTAGACCGACAGAACCCCAAGTCCCTCGAAGCGGCCATCGATCTCGCAATTATGGCCGAAGCTAAAATTGCCGACCGGGCAGCATTCGACAATGACCCTCCTAAAAACTTTCAACGGGTTCGCGCCATCAACCCATCAAGCCAAAACCCCGTCTGTGCTTCAACTGCAATAAAGAGGGACAAATAGCACGCAACTGTAGGGCCCCGCGACCGGGAGTCATTTGTCGAAGTTGCAATAAAGAGGGACATATCGCCCGTTACTGTCCGGAGCATTGAAACGAGAACGCGAGTCGCCAATCGAACGCGACGGCGACTCGTCCCAGCCAATTCTACACTCAATCAAAACAGAGTCTTCGTGGCAATCAATGCATCCCACTCCTTACAGCCGCCAGTAATCTCTGTCGCCAACAGCAATATCAAGGCAGGGCGAGCCAGATTTTTGATCGACTCCGGATCAGACCTGAATTTGATCAAACGCGCGTCCCTCCTAGACAACACCCCCATAGATCACCGTACCGTTTACCATCTCAGCGGAATTAACGATGAATCAGTCGCCACTTTCGGCAGAGTTGTCCTCAGATTCTTCAACAGACCTTGCCCTCTAGACATCGTGCGGGACAATTTCCCCATTGAATACGATGGCATATTGGGCATGAAATTTTTAAGAACGCAGAAAGTCATCTTGTCCTTCGCGGATAACCGCATCATTATCGGCGGCCAATCTTTTCAAGAGCTACCCCTCGTACAACACAAAACGCATCTCTTGCGCGCTCGTACTAAAACACTCGTGAACGTCAGCTGCGAGTTCGGAGAAGGCAGCAGTTATGTCCCTCACATCAAAGCAGGCCCTGGCATTTTCGCCGGAGAATGCATCGTGAAAGCGCACGACCACCGCGCCCCCCTTTTTATCGTCAATGCAACATCCTACGATATTAACTTCACTCTGCCTCCAATCAAAAAACACGAGTTCGAGACCAGCGCTCGAGTGCGTCTCACGCGATCCGCGACCCATTCACCACACGACTCGGGTGCGGAAAGAATCGAAGCCATATTAAACGAATTAGACTTCAACTCCTTAAATTCAGAGGAGCGTCATTTGAAAATGGTAATTTCAATTTTTTATTCAATACCCTTTTTACATTAATTACGTAAAATAATTACATATCGAACGTTAATTACAAGAGATCATTTAGGCTATCTTATGTAAAGATGTATGTTATGTATTTATTCGAGGATATTACACGGTTTTATTTAGTTGTAAAGAATATTTCACACATAGTCAATTAAAAAATAATTTAAGTGAATTAAGACAAACATAAAGAAATTAGCCAAAATTGCATAGGAATGTATCCTTCGTTTTTTTTGCTCTCTTTGTGAAACAAAAAGAACACATTACACGATATTTGACCTGCTTAATAGTTTCATTACATTTCAAGCAATTCACCTCCTTGGACATGTTATCTTTATAACATTTCCGGATCAATGATAAGACTTCTGCATCAACTTTATCATTGATGACACTTAAAAATTTGTCTTCCATGTTAAGAATTCCTTCTCGAGTAACTCTAAGTCCATCTATCAAATCGGATGTCCCGATTACATATTCGTTGCTCAAGGCACTTTCAATAGCCATTGCTTCAATACTGAAACTTTTCAAAATAAATAAAGCTTTCTTTTGATCAGATAAATTTTTAAATTGTGTCCTTTTTCTGATAGAGAGAAGGTGACTTAATTTTTTAGTGTCTACTTTAGCGACTTTGGATTAGTTTTGAAACCTAAAAATAAACATTAAAAAAAGTTAAAACATTATTTAAATGTAAATGTAAAAGAAATCTAAGAATTTTTGCACTAACTTTGGTACTGCAACTGTAAATTCATCATCATCAGAGTCATAAGCTGGTATATAAGAAGAAGGAAAAATATCGGTTATAACAGATTCCTTTTTTTCTTCGACACTCGTTAAAAGATTATGAGGTACAATTGACTTCTTCTCTACTGCAACTGCCAAATTCTCAATTACTTTTTGAGTTTGTTTACGAGTCCTTCTACTTGATCTCAATTCAGCTTCAGAACTGCAGATTAGATAAATGAATAATATTGTTTCACTATTACGCATCAAAATTTAATACATTTCATGGACAAAAAAAATTATATTTACCTTGTATTACTCATTTCATTATTCATTTTGTCAATCAAAGAAGTGGAAATTGTTGATTTTACAGCAGATAATGATCCAAGATTCTCACTGTAACAAAATTTAATTAAAGAATTTCTTGTAATACAATATATTATACAGGAAATAGTTTAAAATAAATAAACATTACCTGTTTTCCTCTCTGGCAATTGCATTCAATTTGCTAAAAATATAATGAAAAACAAATTAGACTATAATGATTTTTTTGTAGTAGACATGTTTTAATTTATTCAGATGAATTTTACCAAGAATTATTATTGTTATTAATAGAAGCCTCGCTCTGACTACTTTGTACTTTTTTGGCGTCAAAATCTGGACTTGCTTCGGGAGGGTTGATGAGATGATGAGAATCTCCCATTGAATCTTGGCAAAAGTCCAAAGGTTCGTCACTAAACAAACAGAGAAAAATATAAGTATTATTTCAATCAACAATTACTTTTATAAGAAATGTTCAATAAATATAACTCACTGAGATTCTTCAAGCATCTGATGAAACATAGAAACATACTTTTCAAATGAGTCGTCAGTTGAACTTACTAACAGATTTTCCATTTTTTCCTTGAGTTCTTTGATCGTTTCCAGACGTACATCCCCTTCTTTGATTACATGATTGTGTTTCATACTCAATGAATAAATTTGTAGCACGGCTACAAATGCTCCATTCTAGGATAGAGCTTGATAAATGAAAATGCAGATTTATCTTCAGTTTTACTACATAAAAGTACACAAAATATTAAAGACCCTCAAGGTGACATCTATGTTAAATAAATGACATGTAATATAGTGCAAGTTGTATAAGTAATAAATAGAATAATAAATCTAATTACCCTTCAGAAAGTTGATGAACGCAAGAACCACAAACGAGATGTACCTCGCAGTACACAAGGTCCGGGTTATATTTTTTATTTTTAAAACGGTTTTTTTCATTTTAGTATTTTTTTGTTGATTTTTTCAAGTATTTTAAACTGTACCGTGTTTCAAGTTCATTCAGTAATGCATAAAAGGCATTATAACTGTCATAATAATCTTTTTCTTTAAAACGTGGATATGCGATATAATTATCACTCATTGTTAAAGCTTATTGAAACTATTATTTAAGAATTAATTTTATAAAATTTAACGAAATAAATATTTGATACAGCGCTGACTTATTCAAACATTAAATAAAACATTAGAAACATGCAAAATTAGCAGGATCGAACTAGAATTTATTTTCTCAGTAATGCCAATTGCAGCACTAGTGTTGATTAAGAACAGTTCACGAAACGAAAAATACCGTGGCGCTCGCGGTGGTAGAAATTTGAAACGTGCAGTGGAGCGGGACGCAGGCAGATCTATGGGCAAGACATAACACTTGAAGTTATTCGTTATATAACTGTTCTTTATTAAGAAATTGAAATAGTTAATTTAATTTTCGAATTGTTTTATAATTAATCAGAGAGGCCAACTTATGATCTATAAAAGAATAAATTAAACGAAAATATAAGAAGATGCTCCTCATTCAATTCACATTTATTTAAAAGTATGATAACCGTAATTTATATGATATATACGATATCCAAACTGACATATTTTAAATGAAAAATATGACAATTCACTAAAAAAAAACAATGCTCTTCTGCATTGAAATTAATTACATTATTTTCTCGACAAAAAGAAATACTGTGCAAAACTATTATAAGCTCTCGAAAATATAAATACTCTATCATAAACTTATATAATAAATAATTTAAGAAGCATAAGGATTGTGATTACACACGACCTCGCGAGATGGCGCTTCACGCACTCGCAAGTGAAAGTGGCGAGTTGTGCACTTAAATGCGAGCTGCGTCGAGGCGTCATCATACATGTTACACTGCTCTTAGCGGGGTCACTGTGTAAACTTGTGTCACTGTCATTCGTGATAGTGAGGTTCGCAGGATTGTTGGTCGGGAAGTTCGCTTCCAAGTCGCCACTGTCCTCCGAACTCGTCTTGGTAGGGGAACCAGCTTCCCGAGTCGCCAGGCGCGCAAGTCGATGCACTGATAGATCTTTCGTTATACAGTGTTGTGACAGCTCGATTTCGGATAAGCAGTTTCCGCATAATCGTAGCCGTGGAAGCCTAGAGCACGAGGAGAAGGCGCTAGTAGCTTATTGCTAGGTCGAGCTTTTCTCCGCCGTGCTTACATAATTAATTCTAAGAGTCGAATTAAAGCTTTTCCTACCTTATTGTTTGATTACCGCTTGTCGAAAAATAAAGACTTGCGGCCTTTGCTAAAATTATCAATTTCGCATTAAATAATAATTGTTTGCTCAGCGTCGTTTACAAAACGTAGCGACGTATGTAATATTCATATACACGCTCAAATTTTCTTATGTTTAATAAATATAACTTTGCTTGTTACCGAAATTTCATTGCTTTATCATTTGCAGCACCCTTTCCCCATTACAACAGAATAAATACAAATATTACAGAGGTTTATGTTTTTACCTCTCACTGTAAAAAACATTGGTGCCGAAAATCCGGGAATAATTCTGTTGTATGGTCGAAGGGTGTTTGGAGTGCTAATTGGAATTTGAGTGGTATTTAAATTGAATTGCATCAAGATGAAGATGCAATTAAAGAGAATAGGCCATATTCAAAACGCCTTCTTGAACTTCAAAAAGACAGGCACGGCGAAAATGACGATGGGTGCGTGTCTATCCCGCACCGAACAATTAAAAGCGCGATGGAGGGAGTTCGACAACGTGCATAAGATGTTGGAAGACGATCCAACGGTCGGTACAGAAATTAATTATTTTAAACTAGACGCATACAGCTCAACGTATGAAGACTACCTGGTCAACTTGGACATTTTGAAAGACTTTCAATTGACGCTGCAGAGTCAGAGCGTTGGACAAACGGCGCCGGAAGGAGTTGTCGCAGATACGGATATGAATCAAGCGAAGTTGCCGCCGATTGTCATTGCTCAATTTTCCGGCTACATTCAAGATTGGGTTCGATTTCGAGATACCTTCAAAGGGATGGTGTTTGATCGTCCGAACCTTCCGAACATATTCAAAATGAATTATTTGCGGACGTACGTCAGAGGCGAAGCAGCTGAATTGCTTCAAGAAGTACCGTCCGGGGGAGAGCATCTCGTAACGGCTTGGAAAGTGCTCTTAAGCCATTACGACAACAAAAGACTGTTGATCAATAAGCTGATGACCAAGTTGATGTCACTACCAGTTATGACCAATAACTCTGCTTCAGAGTTCATGCGTGTGCTCAATGGAGTGCGCAATCTACTGCAAGCTTTAAAAGCCTTGGGCAGTCCAACAGAACACTGGGACCACTTCACCGTATTTCTGACTAGGAGTAAGATAACTCAAAAATGTCAGTCGAAGTGGGAAGACAGTGTTAAACGTGCAGATGACCCTACGAGACCCGATGAATTCGAGAATCTTTGCAAATTCCTCGAAGCGGAGAGAAACGCTCTCTCTTTGCTGGAGAGTACAAAGGATTTTGTGAAAAAGACTCCTCAAGCTGTGAGCGAGTCTAAGGCTGTCACGAGTAAAGGACGCAAATCAGTGAATTTCGTGCAGGTGGGCGCAGGCCAGAATTTGTGTCCTGTCTGCTCTGAGCCGCACTCGATCGAAAACTGTCCTGCATTTCGTAAACTCAGTGTCGAAGAGAGAAAGCGAGTGTTGGGTCAGAAACGCCTCTGCTATCAGTGCTTGGGCGCTCACATGATAAAGGATTGCGAAGCTCCAACGGCTTGTTTCAACTGCAACGGCAAACATCATACGCTCATCCACTTACCATCGAAAAAGTCTAAAGTTAAAAATGAAGCTTCTAAGCGTGTCCAGGAAGAAGCCTCGACCCCCAATGAAAACTCGACTACTGTACGCAACGTGTTGGCCGCTGTCACGTTTGAAAAGATAGACGATGATTTGGAGGCGTTGCTTGCTACTGCTCACGTGCGAATCTCAGCTGACGAGGGTCCGTCTGCGGTGGTTCGAGCGCTCGTAGACCAGTGTGCTCAGTCCTCGTTCATCACAGAGGAACTGTGCCGGCGTCTACGATTGAAAAAGCGTCGAGTGAACGTACCTATCTCAGGTATAGGAGAAGGACTCGATAAAACTCGAGCTGAAGTCGAGATAGTACTGCGCCCTCATTTTCAGTCCCCTTTTGAGCTTTCCTTTAAAACTTACGTTTTGCAGTTAATTACGACCTATCAACCTTCGTGCCAAAGCGCCGATATGTGGGAGCATCTCAAAGGATTGCAGTTGGCTGATCCGTACTTCTCGAAACCTGGCCGAGTCGACGTTCTACTTGGCTCTCACACACACGCTCGAGTCGTGCAGACCGGCTTAATAAAAGGCGACGAGAAAGTTCCAATCGCTATAAAGTCACAGCTTGGCTGGATTCTCTTAGGCAGTGTAAAGAAATCCAAGAAAGAAGGCACGACTGTTTGCGTGCAAACAGAGGATAGGCTGGACGAGCAATTGAAAGCTTTTTGGGAAGTCGAGGAACCGCCTCACGTTTTGCCTTGGTCATCCGAGGACAAAACGTGTGAGGAACATTACGTCAAACATACTGTTCGACTCAATGATGACCGATATCAAGCCAGGCTGCCCATAAAGCCCAATTTGCCTGCAAATTGGGAGAATTCGCGGCAAATTGCCCGCAGCTGCTTACTCTCCCTCGAGCGCAAGCTTTGTAAGAATCCGGCCTTATACGAAAATTACAAAAATACCATGCGACAGATGATCAGAGCTGACCAAATGCGAAAAATTAAAATCAAGCCGCAAGACACCCAAGCGCATTATTTCTTACCTCATCGCGCAGTGGTGAAAGAAAGCAGCACTACTACTCGAGTACGGCCAGTGTTCAATGCCTCTGCTCGAAATGCCTCAGGGCATTCACTCAATGAGCACCTCATGACGGGCCCTAATTTACTGCCTCATATCGTGCTAGTTCTCGCACACTGGCGGCGTTACCCTGTTGCGTTCGTCGCGGATGTGTCCAAAATGTATTTACAAGTGCGCTTGCATCCCGAAGATTGGAAGTTCCAGTCTATACTTTGGAGAGAGGATCCAAGAGAAGAAATGGAGGATTATGTGCTTACTACCGTCACATTTGGCTCTGGTCCCTCCGCTTAGCGAATAGAACGCTCCGACAGTTAGCAGAGGACGAGGGTAATAAATACCCATTAGCTGCGTCCATCGTACAATCTGAAATGTACATGGACGACGTATTGTCTGGAGCTTTCGATGTCAAGCTTGCGTTGCATAAACAAAAGCAATTGAGCGCCTTATTGTCGTCTGGTGGGTTTACCCTGGCTAAGTGGATGACAAATGACGAGGAAATGCTGCACTCTTTCGACGCTGATTCACTGGCCAAAGAGGCGACGCTGAAGGTGGGCCTCGGTTTTTCCATACTTTGACTTGTCTGGGAGCCGAAAACGGATGTCTTCCGATTCAACGTCTCATTAACTGCTGTGACTAGTCCAGTCACCAAGAGAAAGGTACTATCGTGCATCGCTGGATTGTTCGATCCTTCGGGTTAGATAGCGTGTGACGTGGGTTTTACTGACTGATCTACGACCTCTCCTCGGTCACGCGTGTCCCTTCTTCTCGTGAGTTCGTCCTGTCCACCAGCTGATCCACCAGCAGATCCACCAGCTCGGTACCTATATTGAGAATAATTGGGGGATTCGGGCGCTCATTCATACAATAATTAATGACACACGAAGTATTCAATATAACAGCGATTTATTACTCGCTTTATCGTACACGGCCGAGTCGGCCCGAGGACTGGTCGCTGGCACTCTTGCGTAGCAACGCGTCGAGCGCGAGGCCTAGAGGGAACACTCAATACAGAAGCTCGTCGTCCGACTCACCACCACGAGATCCGTTATCGGTCTAGCTGGTCCTCGGGCTTGGTGTTCCTCCTGTAACACAATAGAATAGGGAGCCCGGATGTCTCGTCGTCCTCTCCTCGCTGTGACGATGATCGGCTCGAACCACACACTCTCTGCGCACTCGAGCTCTCGTCGAGCCGGCCACAATCCTCACGAAGAGAGCTTAGGGTGATCTCACCCGTGGAGCTCGAACAAGAGTCGACTTAAACATTCAGAGGATCACCCTAGATGTCGCGCTCACACACTCTGCGTATCGCACACACGACTTACACACACGACTTGCACAAAGTCGATATTCGTAACACACGAAGTTCGCTCGCACGATCTTACGATATCGCCGATTCGTAGGCAACTGATGTGTCCTTTCTCACGCGCCGTGTTGACAAGCTGTCAACGGTCTTCTCTCCATCGACAGTCGCGCTCGCTCACATGAAAATACAAACACGACCATGAAATACTTTTAAGTTACTATTTGCTGACGACAACGATCACACAGGACTCGCCGGGCCCCCCCCCCCCCCCCCCCNCATCACAAAGCCCCCCCCTAAACTATTCGTACCTGTAAGAATAAGTTTATCCACTCAACAGCTCGACGCGACACCACGAGATCGGCCGTCGACCATCAAAATCAAATAATCACAGTCACTCTCGTAATTCATTCATTCATTCGATGAAATGATGATGATATTCTTTCTAACTACTAAACTATATAAAAAAAGAAATAAAACAAAATAAAAACTTGTACCTACGGCCTCTAGCTCACCATTTAGCGACGCTGAATTATCTGCACCACACTGTGCAGTCGTGCCTTCTTGCTCTTCTTCTAGGTATGCCAGTTTTTCTGACTCTTCCTCCACGCCTTGCCGCAACGCGGGCACGCGTGGACTTTTACTTCACCTCGGCCACAATTTGTGCAAAGTACCCGCATTGGGCGTCTTCGGCAATTCTGCCGACCATGTCCCGACTCATGGCAGTTTAAACAGACGCCCCTCGGCGGATCAAGCCCTGATACGAATGCCACCGGCTCCAGTCCGCCGAAGTTTTCACCTCGGACGGACCTGGACGGCACATCCGCATCCTCCGATGTCGGGCTGGGCCAGAACACCGGACTTATGAGCCGACCCGCTCTGTGGCCCCTGTCCACCACCATGGCCTCTTGCTGATGATGTTGCTGCTGTTGAAACAGGGCCGGCTGTTGATGTTGTTGCACTTGTGGAGGTTGAGCCAGCTGCAGGTGTTGTTGCAGTTGTTGTTGTTGAAGCTGGCACGACTGCCAGTGATGCTGAGGTCGACGCAACTTCTGGTGATGCTGCTGGAGCGGGTACGGCTGCTGGTGTTGATGCATGAAACCCCACGGCTGCAGTTGTTGTTGCATAGGCTGAAATATCAGTCCATGCGGGCCCATGACGTAGCTGATCATGCTTACAGGCTCCGGCGGCAGCGTCGCCGCCTCACGCCACACCAAAGGCGCATTTGGCGGCTCAACGCTAACCTCCGCCTCCTCCTCGCGAGGTCGACAGAGCATAGCCGCCGGAGGGTCTGTCAGCAACAGCTCCTCCTCGTGTTGCGAGCCCGCAAAGACCTCCGTGGCGATTTCGCCGTCCCACTCCTCCACCCGGGCCCGCGCAGTCACGCTGCCACGCCGGTCGATGGTAATGAAAGTCCACCGGATCGACGCTCGCCTCCCAATCCTCCGCGATCTCCCCCTTCTCGACTGGGACATCCCGGAGGGTCGGAGACGATACGCCGGAGACCTCCACCACCTGCATCCCCTTTGGCTCGCGCCGTGACAACGCTGAGGTGCCAAGCTCTTCTCTGGAGAGATAACTCTCCAGATCGGCCTCCGCATCGCGGCTGGCCCTTGCCTCTTCGCTGGCGTAAACTTTTACTGAGCTCGGAGCCGCCTCGTCCTCACCACTCGCCGTCAAGGACACCGATGGGGTCCTCTCTCCTCCACCACCAACGACGACTGCCGCGTATGACCTCTTCTGGCCCTCATTGACGTTGCTGCGGTCCATATTAAACAAAGGTTCCTATTTTTTTTTTCAAAGAACAAAAACAAAAAAAAACAAAATATGATATATTTTTGTCCAACCGCTTAGCATGCATCTACGACATCACAGACTATAGACGCTCATGCAGGCTGCCGATTGGCCAGCCTTGGTTGGACAAACCGTTTTAAATGAGAAACAAGTACCTCCGGCTTTTTCCTGTTCTTTTTTTCCATGTCTCGCAATACATACACGTTTACTCCCTTTTTTCCTATCACTTCATACGGACCGCTGTACTTTTCACTTAATTTCGCATTAAACTTATCTATGCCTTTCGATAAATTGTGTGTACGACGCAAAACTACATCACCTATATTAAACGTGGCTTCTTTCCTACCTCGATTATGATATTTACTCTGTTTTTCGTACGCTGCACCGACATACTCTATCACAATCTCTCGTAGCTCGTCAAGTTTTGCCATCCTTTCCGCCCACGCGCTTGGCTCCATAAATTCCGTCGTGCACCATTTCTCGACTTCTCTGCGCAAGCTCTTCGCTTGCTTCGGCTGTCTGCCCATATTCAAGAAAGCCGGCGAGACTTTTAATGTCGATTGCACCGCTGCATTCACCGCATACTGAAACTGCGGCAAATAACGATCCCACTCGTCGTGTTTATCATTTACGAACGAAGCAATCATCGTTTTCAGCGTTCTGTTGCTCCGTTCGACGGGGTTCGCTTGCGCATGATAGAGGGGCGTGAATAAATGCTTCACACCGTATTCCTCCAACGCCTCATTTAGCAACCAAATCCTCTTCCATTATCGGTGAGAAAAAATTCCGGCGTTTCCCAACGAAACAACACTAGTTCCTCGAACGCTCTCAGCACCATTCGCTCCTGTTGCTTTCTTTAGCGGAACTACTTCAATCCATCGCGTGAATAAGTCTTGAAAAACCAGCAAGTACTTATTTTGATTCTTGTTTCGCGGAAACTCCATCATATCCGCCGCTACTACAACCCAGGGTCGGTCTACGACCCTCCTCGTCATAAGCCCTGTCGGCCCGGCCTGTAGCACTTTGTATCGCTGGCACACCTCGCAAGCACTACAAAATTTCTCTACATCGTACCACATACCTGGCCACCAGTACTCGCACGCTGCTCAGTCCTACGTTTTTTTCGCACCCAGGTGCCCTGACGACGTAAGGCTGTGTGCGTCGGATAATACGCGCTGTCTTCTCTCTGCTGGGACCACCAAACGCCACCCGTTCTCTGCGTTCGTTACCGGGTCCAACAGAGCACTTCTACCTCTCTTGTACAGCATACCGTCCTCGATCGTCCAATCTCTGAACTTCGATGGTTCTCGCTGTACGTCCAATCGTTTCTTCAGGTACCACTCGTCCTCGATGATCTCAAATGCGCACACTTCTTTATCAAACGCTCGTGACAACGCATCAGGCACGTAGTGTACTGAACCTTTTCGATACACAATTTCGAAATCGTACTCCATTAATTTAAGGAAGGAAAGGTACCTTAAACCTACATTTATGAAAAATTTATTAATTATGAAGAAAAAAATTTTTTGTGGAATATACAGAGAAAACTCTGTTTTCTTCACTCTTTTTTCAAAGTTTTTCACTCTGGAATATGAAAATTGAGGTCCCAGTCACCATAGAACCCTCCTCGATGAAGCAAGCCCACAGTCCTGACAGGTACCCCTATGCCGTAGGATCCAGCTAGAACCGATGGTGCAATCATGGTCCTTGGGGTCTCATTTTGATCATTAGATGTATGGTTACAAACGCAAGCACTTTCAGATTTTTTAATTAGTTATACACAATTTGCCAGCCACATATACACATTTATTCATTAATATATATGATAAAATGACAGATTATGCTACATCATAGCCTGAAAAAAGTGCTCATTTGTCCCAATACCTTTGAAAGTGCTTGCGTTTGTAGCCATTCTCATGTAGAACAATCCCTGAAAATTTCAGCTCATTTGCTCAAACGGTTTACATGAAAAGTTACGGCAACAAAGCAATTTTGAGATAAAACATAACTGCCCAAATGTTGAAAAAAACCAAAATGCATCAATATATGTCATAATGACATTCTCATGTCACTGAGGCTGCTTAAAACTTTTTGGACGATAAAGAACAGTAATTCGATTTGAATTTTCAACATATTGAACCCACAAGGACAATGTTCAATTATCGCAGACAGCCAGACAAAGCCAAATGCGCCAATTTCATTACTACATTTTATAAGTTGTACTAAAATGTTAGTATACGCTAATATGGATTTTATGGAGAAACTAGTAACTAAGTTGATTATGTCCAAATCAACTTTTCACACAAATATACACAATCTCACATTAGAACTTGAACCCAGTCTTCTACGTATTCACTAACATTCATAAAATATTTATTACTAGATACTTGGAAATAAATCACTACAAGTTGATCAATTATCACTTATCTTGTTCATCACATGCAACATACAAAAATATATATGATATAGTCATATACACATACATAAAGTACAGTGACATACATATACACTGATGTATATATGTCAATTTACATATGTACTTCTGTATTTCTTGAATTAGAACTGCTAAAAATGTCACATTTTTATAACAAGCTATTGAAACTTCTTCATAGCTTTATTATGAAACACTATGTTGAGTTGCAAAGATATAATTGCACTCTACATATACTTTTTTCACTTCAACAAGTCAAAGCTCTGTGATCCGTCACAACCTTGAAACGGCTGCCCTCCACATATGGTCGAAATTTTTCGATCGCCCATATGACGGTCAGACACTCCTTCTCTGTCTAGTCGTTGTGTAGCGCTGCTCTGCTCGCGACAACACTCGACTTACATAGTATACAGGGTGTTCTCCGTCTTCGTATTCCTCCGTCAACACCGCGCCGACTGCATAATCCGACGCATCCGTTTAAATCGAGAACTCCTTCGAGAAGTCCGGTCTCACTAGCACCGGCGCTTCCGACAAACAACGCTTCAACGTCTCGAAAGCTTGCTCTTGCTCGGCGCACTACACAAAAGTCACATCTTTGCGCAAAAGCTTCGCAAGTGGCACTTTTATTTTGGCTTCATTCTTTATAAATCGCGAGTACCAGCCGACCACACCCAATAGTCTGCGCACCTTCTTTACGTTCCTTGGCGCCGGGTACTCGTAAATTGGACGGACTCGGTCGCTGTCGACTCGAAGTCCACTGCTATCAAGCACATAGCCCAAAAATTTCACGCTCTGACAGCAAAATTCGCACTTGTCGCGATTTACGACTAATTTTGCGTCTATCAACGTGCGTATCACGCGTTCGAGCCATATCATATGCTGCTCAAACGTCTCCGTAACCAAGATAATGTCGTCCAAATAAGCAAATACGTGCTTCTCCACCTTCGAGCAGAACAACTTGTCCATTAATCGCTGGAAGGTCATAGGTGCACATTTCAAACAAAAGGCAAACGCTTGAACTGAAATTGGCCTAAGCCTGGCACCGAGAAAGCCGTATACTCTTTACTGGTTTCTTCCATCAAGACTTGATGGTATGCACTCTTCAAGTCTATTTTCGAAATGTATCTTGCTTTACGCAGCTTGTCAAGAATCTCGTCCATATTCTTGCATGGATAGCCGTCCTTCTTTGTAATTTTATTCAAGTCTCGATAATCGACACAGAACCTGTGTGATCCATCGGACTTTTTTACAATTACTGGCGCACTATTCCACTCGCTGCATGCTTCTTCAGTTATTCCGTCACGCAGCATCTTGCTTACGTGCTCGATCGCAATCTTTTCCATCTTATCGGACATTCGACGCGCTCTCTGACACACTGGCCGCGCTCCTTCGATAAGCTTAATTTTGTGCTTAATCTTGTCTGTGTAGCCTAGCTCGCCCGATACGTCCGGTATCAAGCGCATCACCTTTTGAAGTACAAGCTCTCTCTCGCTTGACTTCACCGTGATACCCGCGCATTCGGCTGTAATAGCGTAATTACGCATTATCGTATCGATAGGCTTCGCAAAATCATGCCACGGCCCGTCGTTCGACCGCCACTGGTCTCGGCCCATGCCGATGTCTACTCTCCTACGACGTTCGAAGTCTGCGCCGAGCACCATTTCCACAGGTAGAATCTCTACACATTCAAACACTACTCTACCAGCTTCACGATCTACCTGCAGCATTACAGGCAAACATCCGCTCGACGACTTTCATCATTTTCGGGCCCGCGAGGCAACACTGTGCTCCACTGTCCATCAGTGCTCTGTAGGTGAATTTTCCTACTTGCACATTCACAAAAAACCGATTCTCCTGGCTCATTGCGGCAATATCGATGTATATAATTTGCCTACCATCCTCTGCTTGATTAGTTTCACTCGTTTCGTGAATCTCTGCTCTCGTGATGATCTCGTGTGCCTCTTCTGGCTCGCTCTCATCTTCGCGCACTCTATCTTGTGTCGAAAAATGAGGGGCCGCCACACACTCCAAGCTCACGAGTGTGATCTCGTCCGGATCACTCTTCTCGACCGGCGCGTTCTCACGCTCGTTGCGATCGCACTGCCGATCTTGTAAATTGTCCATTGATCTCGACAATGCAATCGGTCCCGAACGTGCGTCAGCGACCGTAGCTCGAGGCGGCGTGACCATCGCCATATCGTCTTATCGATCTGCAGCTCGTTGTCCACTGCGACCGCTCTCCGAGTCCCGAGGAAAGTTGGCAATTGCCCCCTCCTTCCCTGGCTTAGGGGTGAAAATTTCACCCCGAGGCAACTCGCAATGCGCGAGCACCTCACCCAGCGTAGGAACCCGGAGTTTGTCTTGCTGCTCCAAACGATACAGCCACTCGATCAGTGCTTCGTCTGCACGCTCTTTTTGTGGTGGCCTTTTATTTCGACTCAGAGGCGCGTCGGCCCGTCTCGCGCGCCCCCCCCCCCTGTCCGTTTTCCGAATTTTTAAACAAGTATCTGCAGTTCTCACAATTAATTACAAATACTCCTCGTTGGCCACACACTTGGCACGACAATCGCGTCGGGCTCGCCGCCTGGGCCTGTGCGGCCTGAGGCGCGTTGCAATCTCGCGCCAAATGGCCAGGCTCATGACACCGATAGCACGTCGCCTGTTCAGCATTGCACTGTGCTGCCCAATGTCCTGTTCGCCCGCACCGGTAGCACTTGCCTGTTTTCTTGATCGCCCCACCGGACGGCTCCAATCGTGGGCTGCTACGCACGGCTTGCCTCGCGTCGCCGCTGCTTTGCGGCCTCGATCGCACTCTCTCTGATGCTGCGACCGAGTTCTTAGACGCTTTTTTAGGCGTCACCGGCGATTTTTGCTTCTTCTTCTCCTTTTCTTTCTTCGGTGAGCTCTTGTCGTTCGGCTGATCTGTCTGCACTGCCGCCAATTGACTCCGCTCTGCCGGCTTATACGCAGCGCTTGGATAGTGCTGACTCGCGCTTACTATTGGCTCGTGCCAATACGCGTTCATTCGATTCACGCTCTTGAATTCTTTGCCAGCCTGCTCCAACTCACTGAAGCTCGTAATTTTCCGATGCGCCATAAAATTTCGGTATTCGGGCCTTATACCTCTCTTGGGTCTGTCTTCTGCTCTAAACCGCTATAGACGTGTTTACGTATTGCTCTGCAGGTATTGCTAATTTTTACCTAGTTAAAATCGGAAAAAAAATTTAGTTCTTGTTGTAAACTGTTACAAATAGTGATCCCTATACGTTGAGTTTTTGAGTGCGCTGTTGTTTATATACTTTTCCTGCAAATTTAATAAAAGAGTTTTGCTACCGAATAGTGTGAAATTTGCTTAGTCAAAACTTGTGGACATTTGTGGAAGATCGATTGCCTGCCTAGCCAATGTACATTGTTGTCATTATTGACTTATTGTGTATTCATCGAACTCATCTTGAGCGTTATTTACTATGGACATCAGGAAATTTGAATCTTCGTCTGATTCTGACAAATTAATTGTTATCTTCAAACTGCTAACTAATAATAATGATACCACTCAAGCCTTATTATCGGAACTAAAATGTATAAAATCGGAAGTCGCCAAGCAGAGTAAACGCATTGAGGAATTGGAAGCGGATAATGCCTTTCTGCATCGTGAGGTGCGCAGTCTAAAATCAATGCAATACAACGATACTTCGAGCACAGAATTGAAAATTTGTGGAATTCCATCTGCTTCATCGAAACAACCACACAAGATTGTTGATGCGGTCCTTGACCACCTTAATCTAAGCTCAATGAAAGGCGATGTTATCAAAACTCGTTTACTGCCTAAGTCGGATGACCAGAAAAATACGAGAAGAAAAGATCGCACTTATATCGCTACTTTCAAGTCTACTGCAGTGCGAGACTTTGTGATTCAGACAAAGATAAAAAATGGACAGCTAAACTATGGAAAACTTTTCAAAGATGATTGCTCAGACTCGAAAATGAATTTGTACGCAGTGGAGTCTCCCTACATACACAGACTAAAACGTCAAGCGAGAGAATTAGCCAATAAACATAAATATTCCAGGATATGGATTCGAAATAATACGGTTTTTGTAAGCAAGGATGATAACTCTCCACACATATCTATAGTCTCCGAAAATGACCTCAGCAAGATCGTATGAAGAAATTTGAAATAGAGTGATTTTTTATCAATGAAGAGCCTGTGCTTACATACTTTTTTCCTCTTATTGAAAATTGTAATGTCATTGTAATTGTTGTATTCAAAAATTTATTGCATTAATTGAAAATAATTGTACTACCTAAAAATTAATTGTTTAAGTGATAGAGATTAAGTTGAAGTGCCAAATTTTGCAAATTATCAAAATTATTATTGATTATAATCTGCCTTATGTTACCATGATCTTACTGGACTTATTGTCAAAAATTTTTGTTGTTATCATTGAAATTCTGTGAAGCTGTTTGAGACAACTCTAATAATTTTGTTCTATTTTGTATATAATTTTTGCCAGCCAAACTGTCCCATTGGGATTTGGCTTCAATAAACGTTAACTAACTAACTACCTCTAAACGCGATCGCCAGCTGGTTCTCGTACGGCAACGGGACGCGAAAACGACTGCACAAGAACCTGAAATTATTTAGATACGTGGAAATCGGCTCTCCTTTTCCCTGCGTTCGCTGACGAAGCTCTGTCAAAAGCTCTTCGGTCGTAGCTTGACTCGCAAAGCTTCGCCGAAAACGATGCTCAAAATCCTGCCAAGTCTTGACCTTGTGCTCCACCGACTCATACCAGACCGCGGCCTCATCTACGAGTACCGCCTCGACCGCGAAAAGCAGGTCGTCGGTCGGTATACCTCCTCGGCGTCGCTATCGCTCGAGTCGGCTTAAGAATGTCTCTGCACCCATCTCGTCATTGGCGCCCGAGAATCTCAGGCCGGTCTCTCGAAGCAATCGAACGTACTTCCACCATTGCTCCGCGCGCGCATAACTTCTTTCCTCCACGCTGTTATCTTCGCGTTTCACATTTTGATGCACGTCGTCCCACCTTACGTGCTCCTGCGCGCCAGCAAGATCTTCGCCGTCGCTCGAGTCATCATGGTGCTGTACCGTCCCACGGGGCAGTCCCATCGTCGCTCCTGCGTCCCATGGCGTTGACGACGCTCGTGACTCCGCAGACCGATAGCCAAGCACCCTTTTGCGTGGAGCCTTGGGCGGCGCCTGGCTATTTTGTGGCGTCTCACCTAGGCGCCCACCCTGTGTCGGCAGGTTTCTTAGCCCTGAGTTATTCAAGGCGCCGAACACCTCGGCACCTGCCGTTTCCACGGGTGGCTTAGCTCGTTCACCGAGTACCCGATTCACCTCATGCCGTACGGCCTCCGAGATTATACTCATCAGCCTCGCCTCGAAGTCGTCCCCGAACATCTCTCTCTGTGTGTCGGGGACCTGCACTGTCTTCTTGGCTCCGTCGTCCGGGGCTTCGATCATCGTTTGATCGAGCAGGCTCTCGTTCGACGACCTTTGATCTGGGAGCTCGTCAAGATTCATGTCCCACGGGACATCGAGCGTTATCGTAGCTGGCAAACGTCTCAATCGCGCTTGAAACAGCCTCTCCCGGCAGATCTGTTCGCCACCTTGATCGCTCAATCTCTTGTTCCTGAGCGAAGCCATCACGTCTTCGGCCGGCATTTCCTCGACCTTGGACCACATGCCTCTTGCGGTCACATTTTGCAGAAGCATCTGCATTCGTTCCTTATAACGCTCCATTTGTGCGCGTGTTATTACTGGCATCGGCTTGTTTTTGCTGACCGTTTACCAGAAAACGAAAATTACACACGTTGTACGATGCGTTGCCACGCTTAGCGCTGTCGCACAGTACACCCGATTTCCCTTTTCGGCTTAATACTCGTGTGCACGCACACTCGTACAATCAGATGTACTCCGTAGCAACGTAATTACTTTTTTTCTTTCGATCGGCGTCGACTATCTAATGTTTCACGCGTTCACCTTATATCCGCGGGCGACAACAATTATCCTCGCGTCTGACGCTCCCATCAAGATCCCGTCTGCTACAGTCTCGCTATCAGTGCTCGTGTACTCGAATCTGTGTCAATGCGCGAACGTATGTTGTTCGTTCTTGCCGACTAACACCGATCGAAAATCTTAATACGCGCACGCACACACATACATATAGACGCCGTACACTGAAAAGGTCAGCAGGAACTCGACTATTTTCAAAATGTAATGAATGCTGTTTCTACAATGCAATGAGTTGATTTCGGAAAAATGCGACTGATTGTTTTTCAAAAGTGACTGAGTTCCCTCTGAGAATGCGCTCACTTGTGTCAGTCTGAAGTAGGGTGAATCGTTATTGATAAAGTAGAATGATTGGTCCCTGGTAACTAACCATAACCGTGTAAATGCAACTTTATTGACATTATTAATTAAAAGCAATATTGCTGATCCTGGTTCGTGTTCTTACTTTAAAGTCAAACTTTTTTATTAACGAAAATGGAAAATTTTCTTAATTCTCATAATTGGGGCAAATTTATACCGACCTTCTCAGGTAAGTTTGTTAAAAATAAGTCATAAAAATGTTCTGGTATAACGAGCGAGTATAAGCAAAATGATGCGACTTTTCTTTTTCAGAATACAGCTTAGATGATGAAACGTATTTATTATTAACGAATGAAGACATTCACACAATTTTCAAATCTGTACCGAATATGCTGGAGTGTGTACGAACTAAATTTGTCTCACATTTCATAGAAAAATTTCAAGAGCATAGACAGTCTGTCTATGATCGTTCGTTCATCGAAACAGAATCTATCGAAAAAAAGGTGAATATTGAATTTCTTGATGAAAATGATGAAGCTATGGATACCTCAGACGGTAGCAATGGTACCATGGAAAATAATTTAAGTAGTACCAACTGTGAATCCTTTTCGTCATTGGATCAAAACACTGCCGGAGGTAAAAAAAATTTTATTTAACTGTAATTTACTATACTTTATGAATGATAATGAACGATAATCTGTTCTTATAAAAAATGAAATGTTTTTTTAATTCCAGCCGAGTTCAATTTTATTGAAAATGAATTATATACTTTTCTAAATAACGAAGATAATATTGATGGCCGATTGATTTTAAATATTTATAAAAGAACTAGAGAGCTTGAGACTGAACGCCTAATTGATATGGTACTTCTACAAGCCATTAAAAAAGACAAGTACAAATGGCTTCTTGTTTTATCTATACATTTTTTTCTTTTGACGAGTGCTTTATATTTTATACAATGGTTGTCAGTGAATATTTCTAAACTATATTAATATGTCCCAAATTTTTAGAATAACTAGACAAAAGTTCGAAGATATAAGAGATTTAATCGTGGAGTTATTTCCAACCGAAGATCGGGACGTAAATTATGTTGGTCACGAAAAGGCAACTGAATTTTCAGATACACTCCATGCCCATGGTAAATTGGTTAACCATTACAAATATATAAGGCAACGTTTGGACGATGCAGGATTTATAAAGAATACAGTTTTCAGACAAACTAAAAAACAAAAAAAACTTTCCAGTTTTGACATCAAAGGTTAGTGTATTTGAAAGCTTTATCTAATATGTATAATTATATGTATGTTACATATTATCGAAGGTTAACTTTTCAATAGTTTCAGATTTTCCTCAGTGCTTAACAGATCCAAATCAAGAGCAGTATTGCTTAGATACTCAAATCGAAAATTGGAATGAATTTTATTCTTTAAGGTCAAAATATATTCAAGTGTCAGAAAGTAAAAAATCTGAAAAAATAAGCATTTATTTAGATCACTTCAACTGTCTCAAGACCGATAATGGACTTAGATTGGTAAACAAAGTTTTTACTAATATCTATAGAAAAATTGGTGAAGCTTTTGATATATTTATTATTAAAAATTGTATTACTATTTAGCTGGAATTAGATTTTAATAAAAAGGTAGCTGAAATAGCGGAGAAGGATTCTGTTTTGAGATCAACTGCGTATCCTCAGCTTTTTATTGCTAATTGGGATATTTATGCAAGTAAATTGATTGATTTGTACGAATCTAAGAAATCTTCAAGAAAAGACCTAAAGAAATTTCTGGAAAAATATGAAAATGAGTTGAAAAATAGTTAGTTATTGTTATTGTTATTGTTTCAAATTTTATTTATTATAACCTAAATTTTTATGAAAAATGCTTCCTCTGCTCAGAAAAATGTTAAAGTATAGTCGCTTTGCTCGGGATTCCCTACTATTTTTCGGTAAATAAAGTAGCAAAACCGGAGTCTGAAGAGAGTAATCCAAAGACCTCGAACTCGAAAGTGCCAAGCTTAAATAGAACAGAAATTCTTAATTCATTTATATTGCACGTGCAGGTATCTAAATAAATCTGTGAATTTCGATTGAAAATTATATTATTAATTATTAATGTATAATAATCTTAGGAGCCAAATGAGCTAGATGAAAAAATTCAAGAAAATGAAACAAATTTGAAAAAATTAGATTCTCTCGTCTTACCGTATGTTGTAATAACTGGTCCGCTTGACAACATTCAGGAATCGTATGTCATTTTTCTCACAAGAAAGTACAAATTTTTTAGTCCCCTCCTAGCCGTTCAAGAATGTTTTAAGTCTCTGTACGCTCTAAATATTTGGCCATACCCTAGTGACTTTATATGGATTTTGATTGGATAATTAGTATATAAATTCAAAATTACCACGAGGTTTACGTCTATATCGGCAGCTGTCAACGACATTAAGAAAGCAATGCAAATTTAGTATAATTTGATGTAACAGTTAGTTACTACTCTTTATATTAACTCTTTATATTAGTTACTACTCTTTATGCATTCAAATTAGCAATTTCCTTTTGTTGCATTTAAATAGTATTATAGAATTTTAATATTTTTATTCGATACGTATAATTAGTAGTATTCTGAAATGAATCAAGAACTGTTGAATATTTTGCTTTCTTTCATTTTACAGCTATACAGCTGTCCAGGGTTATCTAGGAAAATAGTTCAAATAGTGGTAGATTTTTTAAATGAATTCGTATGCAGCATACTTTTTCCTGCTTTAAAAAATGAAATTTTAAATTTATTAAAAACAGAAAATATTTCTCCTGAAACGCGTTTAAAAATTGAAGAA